CAATGAAGCATGCCCAACTGCATCCCAAAGTTCAGATAAGGTCATAGTGTCAGAGTCCCCACATTGGAAAAGAACGTCACTGAGGAACAACCAGGGGGCTCTCCAAGTAATATCTCGGTCTTGATAGATGAGTGAAGACTTTCATCCACTTCTCTTTTGAAGTTCCTTCATGCCATTTCATGGTGATGAACTCTCTCAAATGTGAATACGTAGTGATAAATCGGCGGTAGGCAACCCCATTATTATTCCAGAAGTGGCTGTGAATCCAGACTTGAAGGATCTGAACACATCCAATGAATCTACCTCTGCCAGCTCTTCGGCAATGGTTGAGAGACCGAAAGGTCTCGGCTAAGATGGTTGGTGCTGGGTTGACCCGTTTCGGAAGTTGCTCAAATAGTTCCACCACGGCTGCATCAATGCATCCCAAAATCTTCGGAAAGATGATCAAGCCATACATACCTAGTACAAAAAAGGTCTATAGTCTTCCATTCATCAGGGTGGTCATTCATTAGTTTACTTATGTGGATCCACTCAATTCCCTACCCGTTACCTTTGTTTCGGAGTCGGTCAGTCACCCACTTTTCATCAACTCCTGCAATCTTAGCCACTCTGTTCTTGAAAGACTGACTCTTGATGTGTTTGATGTAGGCTCGCTCCAGTTTAATGCTTTCACAGTGCAATAGTGTAGTATACTCTTCGATGGTAAGTACCATGTCCTCATGGTTAAAAGTGAAGCAACTGTATCCCTGGTTCTAGAATCGAACCAAGGCTCTGATTAAGGGCTCATCAGTCTTAACATGAAGCAAAAGTGTAATGTTACCATATCGCTGACTGAACTTCTGTTTCAAATCATTCTTCCAACTGCCCCAGATGTCCCGAAACTCTTGCATGTCGTTCTGCTTTAGGCTAATAGAGGCGTAGCTAACCAGTTCTGACACATAGCTTCCTTGAAGACTGTCTCCCTTTTCCTTCTGAGTCTTCTCGGACCATAGTCGTACATCAGGGTTTTTAATCTCTTGTATTACAATATCTTTATCCATTAATTAAGATTATTTTGTGTAACAAACACCTTTTTATAGATCAATGGCCTCTTGTTATGATGCAAATGATGAAAACAAAATAAAAGAGGACAAAATAAAAAAATTAGTGAGGTAAATCAAAATAATAAAATGAAAAATCATACCCCACATGATATCTACCCGAACATGTTTAGTATTCCTACTCGGACATGATCTCTATCCCGTATGCTAATTTTAAACAAATCCTAACCGCATATTTGTCTAGTTCGCATGCATTGAACATAAAGTAAAGCATGAAATAATTCTGGCATCCTAGGGTTTGAAATGAGGTTTTGGGGTAGGCTCTAATTCTTCAAAGTCTCCCGGTTTAGGTGCTAAAAAATGGTACCCAAGTTCTCCTTGTTGGTGCCCCCTTGGGCGTGCTAGACCCTTAGTCCTAAACCCATCACAGGCTCATGTGGACTAAGTTAAACTCGAGAGGACACATTCCCTTATGTCTATGCGGAGAATAAATTCACACGAAGACATAAGGTATATGAATCTCGAAGGCTACTTGCTAGGCATATGAGGTGAATAAATTCACACGAATGTGTCACTTTCACCCCCACTTAAAACGGGTTCGAAGCTCGGGTTTAGAGCCTTAGATGAAAAAAGACTTTAAGGGCTGAAATCATTGAGAAAAGGGTTAGTACAACTATTTACTCGAAAAAATATAATCAAAAGTAAGCAATAAGGATCGAAATGTTACCTTAAAATTTAAACTTACCATTTTCGTTGAAAAGACAACTGAAAATTACCTTAGCCTGACTCACTTGAAAGTCCCCAGCGGAGTCGCCAAGCTGTCGCAACCGTCTTTCGGTTGGGCCCCAAGATTGGGCTTCGACTTGAAAAATGTGGATTGGAGTCGCCACCGATCATTTATTTAAGAATAAATAGGTTGATCGGATACCTTATTTCTTACCTGATCTGCGTCTTTCCAAAGATGTGTCGGGTTCGGGAGTCGGTTACAATCAAGGAAGGATTAGCACCCTTGAACTGCCCTTTCGGTACTACGTAATTTCCAGTTGTCTTTTATTAAGAAAATTATAAGTTTAAATTAAAAGATAAAATAATGATCCAAAATTACTTACATTTGACGGATTTAAAAATATACCCTTTAAAAGTCAAAATATGGGTTAGAAGAGATGAATAAATGATAAATAAAGTAAAACAAATAAAATAAGGAGATTAAGAAAGAAATAAAGTAAATATAAAATGAATAGAATATATAAAATAAAAAATACAATAACACTAATATATACATAGCAAACAACTAAATAAAAATAAAATGATAATACAAATAAATAAATAAATAAAACAAGTAAAAGAATATAAAAACATAAAATATAAGATAAAGATAAAAAAAAAATAGATAAATAAATGAGTAAAATATATAAAAAAGTAAAAGCATATATATATAAGTAAAATAAAAAAAAAATCAAAAGTAATATACGTATTTATACATGTAAAATAAGAAATATATATATATATATATATATATATATATATAACACTAAAAAAACATATATACATATATAATAAAATTAATAGAAAGTAACATGCATATATAACAAGAATAATAAAGTAGGAAAAAATGATTTAGGGGGTGAATTAAATATTTAAAAAAATGAACACGCCTCGGGGTAAATCTAGGTTCGAAACTTCGAAACCCCACCCCTTTTTGGTTATATACGCAACCCACGTTTTGGGTTATTCGAACTAAATCTCAAGAAAAATAACGTGCACATGCGAGAAATGAATGAACCAATGTAAAAAAGATGCTACCTTTTATTTCATTTTCGAATCGTTTACAATAGCTTTGTCCTTGTATTTTCCGTGCTTTCCTCTGTGTTTTGTGTGTAAATCGTGTGTTACAATAGTGAGTTACAGTGGCTATTTATAGTGCTTGTGGATCATATCTTTAAGAGTTTAAATCATAATAGAACTCTATCCTATTTTTAGGAGTTTGAATCCTAGTAAAAATCTATCTTATTTTTAGAAATTTGAATCCTAATAGGAAGAAAAGGTGTGTTGACATGAAGTATGTAGAAACAAAAAAAAGCAAGAAACCAACACATCAATAAAGCTATCAAATCAATATCATCTGCACCACAAGTTCCTTACCGGTCCACTCTGTCACATCTAACTACATGTGTTCTATTAAAATTAACTTTTATCTAATATTTAAAATTTTAATCATAATCAGTTTTAATAGAATCATAATCATTTAAAATAACTAAAAATAATTAAAAATATATTCTCTGACATAAAGAAAGAAAACTTGAAGGATATCCATAACAGATGGATGAAAAACCAGTCATCCGTTAATTGCAGCATTCTCTAACACAGATATCGAACAACTATTGGAATGTCAAATACAAACAAAGGAAGAAATCACACATTTGGAAAGCAAACAAGCAAGAAATTTATCAAGAACCACACACCAAGAAGAATATCAAGAAGCAAACTAATACAAGAAACATGCATTGGGAGTTTAAAAATATCAGTAGCTATGATAACTTTTACCAGAGAAAGAACCGTTACGTTCAAATATTTAAAAAATTTATGGGATATCAATTTTATAATTTCAAAAAATCTCTTTCTCTTAGGCAATTCAGAAGTTACAAGGAAATCGACGAGATCTTTGGGGCAGTGGTGGTGGTCGTTCATGGCCATCTCCTTGTCCTTTTGTTCCCATTTTTCGTTATTTCCTTTCAATTTTACTAGTTTTCAATTTAGCTTTAACATAGTTTATACTTTTGTTTATACTTTTGCTTATCAAACTATCACTAGACGATCATTGTAAGATTTATGATAGTCCAGGTTGTGTTTTTTTAGTCTCTAATTGGCAAGACATGTTCGATAAATAAATATTTCTCAGTATTACTTTAAAAATTACTAAAATTGTGACATCATACATATAAAATCTATTCTATAAATATAACAATATTTTGCTGCTTTATAATTCAATTCACATCATTATTATTACAGTAATTAAGAAGTTATGAATTCAGAATTCTAAACACAAGTAAAGGAACTTAAATGTTGGACATGGGTTGCCAAGTCTTTAATTTGCTTATATTATTAATATAATAATAATGTTATATTTCTAATTTTAATTACACATCTAACATTGTTTATAATCGCACTTAGACTTGAATGTTGAATATCGTGTTCTTGTTTATGTCAGTTAATCACAGTTAGACTTGAATTATCTGTGGACTTGTGAGAGAAATATTAATTTTTTAGTGTCAAGTTGATGTTTTAAGACATTCTCAAATGTTTAATTTAGAAATTAAAAGAAAAAAAATGGAATAATGGGAGAAGATAAATAACTAAGATTGTACTTAACTTTCGACAACTTATCCTAAGATCAAAGGATGCAGAAGGTTTCGAGTAATCTTCTTTGTATTTAAAAAGCTTTGGCATAATAGTATGTACTCTTAATTTCATACATTAATCCTTATCTATCTGATTTTTTTTTAAAAAAAATAAAATTTCATCTATCCAAATTCACTAAATGAATTCGGTGACGAAAAGAAATATTAATATCTTTAAAAAATTATTCGAGTAATTATATTTTTATTATATATGTGCATCAGTAATAAAATTCTAAACATCCTATAAAAAAATCTTATTTTCTGAAAAAATTGAAAAAAAAAATGAGTTCAAGTTAATTTTTATCATATGAAAAAAATGAAATAGAAATACATTTAGTAAATAAAGTTATAATTTAGTTTACAGGTTTATTATTACCTATAAATTTAACACCATTTTACCAATATTAACCGTATCTGGTTGTCACTTGCTTCAAACAATAACCTGCCATAACCATTTCATATAATTTTTAGTTTCTCCTCAAATGAATTTATATATATGTAGGCTAAAACAATACACCACCAACAAACTAAAAAGTTTTCCTTGGAAACCTTATATTGAATCATGGCTGGACCTAACTCCACAACTATCAAATTCTTCTGCAGTTATCGTGGTAAAATCCTTCCTCGATACCCCGACTGTAAACTCTGTTATCACGGCGACAAAACCCGTGTTCTCTCCGTAAACCGCTCCATTTCATTCTCTGGTTAGTATTCTTGTTTATATTCCAAGTTTTTATGTTATTCTTTTATATAATGTTGTGTAATGTGGTGCAGAGTTGTTGTTGAAGATGGGAGAAATGCGTGGAAAGTCGGTGAGTTTACGTTGCCAATTGCCGACACGTGATTTAAACGTGCTGGTTTCCATTAGTTCTGATGAGGAGCTCACATATCTCATCAAGGAATATGATCGTTCGTCGTCTTCGCCTGAATCTTTTGTGAAGATCAGATCTTTCCTTTCCTGGAAAATAAAATTGACTTCTTATCCTACCCTGTCACCATCCTTGTCATTGTCGTTGACTACTTCAACTTCTTCGAATTCACCATCCACCACCCTCCGATTATCAAGCGTTCGACAGATGATCCCATGGTCTCACTCCGTCGTTCCCCTTTGTTGTCCGAAGACATCCAAGGCGAGCGACATTGATTGCCATGGTTACCAAGTTCAACATTGTTGAAAATTCAAAGCAGCCGGTTGGTGGAGCATGATTTTGTTGAGTATGGGCAGCTGATTTTTTGGTTGGTGGATGAAAATGGGGCGGCTGCAAATGTTCAAAATTAGGCAGTCATTTTGGTTGAATTCTGTGCATGGGAGAATTGCATTTTAGTCCCTGCACTTTATAGTATTTTCAAAGATTAGTCCTTAAGCTTCAATTATAAATACCCTTACCCATTTAGCTTCAAAATCATCCCAAATCATTTCTTTCTCTCAATACTAGAGGTTTTCTTGTGAGTTGTAAGTATTTTGTAAACATATGTAAATTTTCTCTCTTTAGTAAAAGATTTGCAGCAGCCCGGAGACGTAGGCATAATTGGTTGAACTCTGTTATCAATTTCGGGTGTTATTTTTTCCGCTTTTATTTCGCATTCTCACTAATATGGTTATATGGAAATTACTCGGTTAATTCGCAACAACTAGTATCAAGAGCTTTTGGTGGTTAATTTTGTCGGGTTTTCTGCGAGGTTACTATTCACATGAATAGTGAATTTCTTGAATAGTAAAATTTGGTCGACGATACGAATTTGTTGACGGAGGTGTTCTAATACACAGTGGGAGCGATGGCTGCAGACGAAGGGAATGTGAAAATTGAGAAGTTCGATGGTGCGGACTTTGGCTTTTGAAAGATGCAGATTGAAGATTTTCTGTACCACAAAAATCTATATCAACCTCTCTCAGGAAAGCAACTAGAGGGCATAAAGCATGAAGACTGGGCTCTTCTCGATAGATAAGCCCTCCGAGTTATCTGACTGACGTTATCCTACAATGTTGCTTTCAATATAGCAAAGGAAAAGACCACTACGGGTCTTATGGTGTCTCTCTCCAGTATGTATGAGAAGACATCAGCTTCAAACAAAGTTTACTTGATGAGGTGATTATTCAATTTGCGGATGGTGGAAAGGGCATCAGTGGCTCAACACCTAAATGAACTCAACACAATCACAACCCAGTTGAGTTCCGTGAAAATTGAATTCGATGATGAAGTTCGAGCTTTAATTCTCTTATCATCTCTACCAGACAGTTGGAATGCTACTGTTACAGCAATCAACAGCTCATCGGGAAACAACAAATTGAAATTCGATGATGTTCGAGATTTGATATTGAGTGAAGAAATTCGACAGAGATAATCGGGTGAAACATCAAGCTCCTCAGCCTTGCACACGGAGTCTAAAGGGAGAACTTCATAAAGAAATTCAAATCGTGGCAGATCGAAATCCAGAAGGGGAAAATCAAGAACGGGAAAGAAAGATTTTAACTATTATAATTGTGGCAAGAAGTGTTACTTTAAAATAGATTGCCGAGCAACAAAGAAATATACCGACGTACAGGAATCTGCCAACATGACAGAGGAGATAGGTGATGTCATGATTCTAAGCGTCAACAGTCCGATTGAATTATGGATCTTGGATTCAGGGGCATCTTTCCACTCTACCCCATGCCAAGAAATCATGGAGAACTATGTCAGTGGTGATTTTGGGAAGGTTCATCTAGCTGGTGATGAAACCTTGAAGATCGTCAGAAAAGGAGACATCCGATTAAAGTTGCCAAACCAGACTGCCTGGAAGCTGAAAGGAGTGAGACATATTCTTGGCCTCAAAAGACATTTGATTTCTGTAGGACAGCTTGATGGAGAATGATATAATACAACCTTTTCAGGCTATGAATGGAAGATTACCAAAGGAGCACTCGCCATTGCTCGTGGTAAGAAGACTGGTACTCTCTATGTAACCTCAAATTTAGAGAATATCATTGCAGTAGTAGATGCTGATGGAAAATCAAACCTATGGCACCAAAGGCTTGGCCATATAAGCGAGAAAGGGATGAAGACACTTTTGTCAAAAAGGAAACTGTCGGATCTAAAGAATATAGATGTCAGACTATGTGACGATTGCATCTTTGGAAAACAAAACAAAGTCAATTTTGTAAAGATTGGCAAGACACCCAAGGCTAAAAAATTAGAGTTGGTTCATACTGATGTATGGGGACCATCTCCAGTTCCATCTCTTGTAGGCTCACTATACTATGTCACCTTCATCTGATTCTACAAGGAAGGTGTGGGTTTATTTTCTAAAGAAGAAATCAGAAGTCTTTGATACCTTCTGAAAATGGAAGGTCATGGTGGAAAATGAGACTGATTTGAAAGTCAAGCGGTTGAGGTCTGATAATGGAGGAGAGTACAGAAATAGTAGATTCAGAGATTTCTACGCAAACAATGGGATCAAGATGGAAACAACAATTCCCATGACACCGCAACAGAATAGCGTAGCAGAGTATATGAACAGAACTCTGAATGAACGTCCCAGAAGCATGAGGATACATGTCGGCTTGTCCAAATTGCTATGGGCTCAAGCTATCAACACTGCAGCTTACCTGATCAACCGTGGGCCCTCAGTTCCCTTGGATGGTGGAATACCAGAGGAAGTTTGGAGTAGAAAAGAAATAAACCTTTCACACTTAAGAGTGTTTGGTTGTATTTCTTATGTACACATAAATTCAGCTGAAAGAAGTAAACATGATGCTAAGTCCAACAAATGTGTATTTGTTGGTTATGGTGGTGATGAGTTTGGTTACCGTTTTCGGGACTATGAAAATCGAAAGATCATCAGAAGCAGAGATGTCATTTTCAATTAGAATATGATGTACAAAGACAGGTCAACCATAGAATCAAGTAGCTGCAATACCAAAGCTGAAACAAAGGAATTTGCTGAGTTTGAGGAGATTTTCGGAAATGATGTTCAGATCAGTCCTGAAGCAGTTCAAGAAGAACCAGGCACACCAGAACTAAGACGCTCCTCCAGAATTCCTAAACCAACCCATCATTATTCATCTTCTTTGCACTACTTGTTGTTGACTGACAATTGTGAACCAGAGTGCTATGATGAAGCAATACAGGTGGAGGATTCAGTCACGTGGGAGTCTTCCATGAAAGATGATATGGACTCGCTTATGTCAAATCAGACGTGGGAATTAGCTGAATTACCATCATGTAAGAAATCGATCCATTACAAGTGGATTTATAGGATCAAAGAAGAGTACGATGGGAGGAAACGCTACAAAGCAAGATTGGTTGATAAAGGTTTTCAGAAAAAAAGAATGTATTGACTACAATGAAATTTTCTCTCCAGTCGTGAAACTGTCTGCAATCAGACTGGTGTTGAAAATTGTATCTGCAGAGAATCTACATCTTGAGCAGTTAGATGTAAAGACAGCTTTCCTTCTTTGTGATCTAGAGGGAGAAATCTATATGAGGCAGCCAGAAGGCTTCATAGAGGCAGACAAGAAAAACCTGGTATGTATGTTGAAGAAGAGCTTGTATGGTTTAAAACAAGCTCCTAGATAGTGGAACAAGAAGTTCGATAGTTTTATGAGTAGCAGTGGTTTTACCATATGCCAAGCATATCATTGTTGCTACATCACGAAGTTCGATAACAACTTCATTATTTTATTGTTGTACGTTGATGACATGCTCGTTGCAGACTCAAACATGCAAGAGATTATAAACTTGAAGCAAAAATTGTCGAAGCAGTTTGCAATGAAAGATCTGGGCGTTGCAAAGCAGATTCTTGGGATGAGGATCAAGAGAGACACAAAGTCAGGGACTTTGATGTTATCACAGACTGAGTACATCAACAAAGTACTCTCCAGGTTCAACATGCAAGATGCTAAACCAATAAGTACACCTTTAGGTGTTCATTTTAAACTCTCCAAAGAACAGTCACCAAAGACGGAGGAAGAACGTGCACACATGGTGAAGATGTTGTATGCCTCAGCAATTGGAAGTTTGATGTATGTCATGGTTTGTACCAGACCAGATATTGCTCAAGTAGTGGGAGCTGTTAGCAGGTACATGAATAATCCGGGCAAGGTATACTGGGAAGCAGTCAAATGGATCCTCAGATATATATAGGGTACCACAAACAAATCACTTTATTTCAGAGGTGGAGATACGATACTGACAGGCTATGTAGATGTTGACTTAGCCAAAAATGTTGACAGGAGCACTACAGGGTATATCTATACTCTAGGAGGTACTGCAGTGAGTTGGGTTTCTCAACTACAGAAGATAGTTGCTCTATCTGTTGAAAACATTTTGATGTTTCGATATAACAAATTAAGTTAAATGAATTTTAAGATTTTACAAAAGATTTTCTAAGTATATTCGATATAATTATTTGAATATCAAAATATTACTCCAAGTCTTTCAAAGTTCATTTTAATCCTTACTAAAGTGTAAAATTGTGTTTTATACTTAAACTATTTTAAAACAATTTTACAAAGTATTTCGAGCCTTAATCGAGCCAAAAATATTTTCTTTTTAAAGGGTTTCAAGAAAAATTAGATTGCCCAGGGGGTACCGATTTCCCCCTGTCTAACGGTCAAAAACAGATTGCACTTAGGGAACCGATTCCCCATGAGGGGGTACCGATTCCCCCCACGCTCTAAGCTATTTTATTAATTATTTCTCATCCCCAAACAACTCCAATGACTATATACGACTTCAAACACATTCCAAGCTATAAATACAAGCTAAGGACACTTGAAGACGCAAGAGAGCAACTATCCAAGCAATCAAACATAAGAGAAGAGTTTTTAATTCTTATTTCATCTTTCTCTTGTAAATATTTTGTTCTTGTGAGCTCAATCTTGTAAACACCTACCTTAGAGAGGTTTTCTTGTTTACTTATTTTATCCTTTTGTAAAGGGGAAAGGTTCTAGCTTATCCCGTGTAAAAGCTAGGGAAAGGTTCTAGTTTAGCCTAGAAAAATTAGGGAGTTTGTAAGGTTACTCTTTGTCCTCAAAAGAAAGAACAAATTAGTGAATTTGTTGGAAAATCATTGGTGAGGAGCTAAGGTAGTGGACATAGACTTTGATTGAGAAAGTCGAACCACTATAAATCGTTGTGTGATTCTCTATCTTTCAATCTCCTTACTCCCTAAACACAAAATCATTCCGACCCCTCTTTGCAAACCGTTCCGATTGTCGATTCGAGCTTCCGAAAATCTTAACACTATCCAAAACTGAAGCAGAATATGTTGCTATTACGGAAGCCATCGGTGAGGTGGTTTGGCTCCAAAGTTTCTTGGAAGAGTTAGACAAGAAACAAGAAAACAATGTCTTGTATTGCGTCAATCAAAGTGTTATCCATCTAGCAAAGAACCCGTCTTTTCATTCCAGGACGAAGCACATACAATTGTTATATCATTTTATTCAGTCTCTTCTGGAAGATGGGATTTTGAAACTTGAAAAGATTAGTGGAGCTCAAAATCCGGTAGACATGTTAACAAAGACGGTGACTACGGACAAACTGAAGTTGTGTTCAGCTTCAGTTGGCATGCTAGAGTAACAAGACCAGAAATTATGCTGCATTGATCGAGGTGTGAAGCCAGATTAAAATCAGTCTTCAAGTGGGAGATTGTTGAAAATTCAAAGGAGCCGGTTGGTGGAGCATGATTTTGTTGAATATGAGCAGCTGATTTTCCGGTTGGTGGATGCAAATGGGGCGGCTGCAAATGTTCAAAATTAGTCAGCCATTTTGGTTGAATTTTCTGCATAGGAGAATTGCATTTTAGTCCCTGTACTTTAGGGTATTTTCAAATATTAGTCCTTAAGCTTCAACTATAAATACCCTTACACATTTAGCTTTAAAATCATCCCAAATCATTTCTTTCTCCCAATACTAGAGAGATTTCTTGTGAGTTTTGAGTGTTTTGTAAACAAATGTAAATTTTCTCTCTTTAGTAAAAGATCTGCAGCAGTCCAGAGACGTAGGCATAATTGGCTGAACTTCGTTATCAATTTCGGTTATTATTTTTTCCGCTTTTATTTCACATTCTCACTAATCTGGTTATAGGGAAATTACTCGGTTATTTCCCAACAAGCATTGCAACCATATTCATATTAACCTTATTCAAAGAAGGAAAAACTTGCAATGTTGATATTAGAAATGATTTGAATTGGCAAAGAACAAGTAGAAACCATTAACAACTAAAAAAAGTGTTGTTTGGTTCTTTCAGAGAGTTTTCTTCCTGATTTTTTTTCTTTCTATCAAGATTTAGGGGTGTCGGCATCCATTGTATCTCACTATTTCATTGGTTCTTCGTTATTTGCTTCTTCTTCTTTTCCTGAATCGGTTGTCAATTGAAGGTGAAGAGGGTGTTTGATGTGGGTACTACGACTTGATTGGTGTTTTATCGTCCAGCTCAATTGCCATTAGTTGAGAGATCTTAGGATTAATAATGTATGTAGGAGAAAATGTTATTAATCAATTGAGTAATTTTCAACAATCTATTCTTTTATCTAAAAAGTATCCTTGTGTTCATATTTTTAATGTGTTCATTCTACCCTATACAATAGTCAGCGAAGGGATCATTTATACTTATTTGACGTGAGTTAAAATAATATGTAATAAATTTAAAATTTTACAAATTAATTACATCTGTATTGTTTAAGTCTTTATTGTTTAAGTTAATGAGTTATGTCACTACAATATCAAGATCAAATTCTCACTCATAAAATTACAGAAACTTTCATTTTTGTAGCTTTTGTTTCAAGACTTTGTTATAAATATATTACATTCACATGATGATCACTTTAGATTAAATTTGTTCATCTAATTTATTCACTTTTATCTCAATGTTCAATTTATAAATCAAATAGAGAAAATGGTTATCATACGAAGTAACAATTAATCATTCATCTTTAACTAATGAAATGTGACTGCATTCCATTTTCATAAACCCTTACAATATCATTGAAATGACACTATTTACTCTTTAATCAAGCCATAATATCATATTTATTAATGTATCTACATCATTTATAAGTCGCATACTCAACATAGCATCTCTTATCTTACTATTCTATGACACATCCAATCTTGATATATCAAAGTATTCAAGTCACACATATATAGTCCTACAATTATTCAAAACTAAGGTATATATTTTTTGAATATCCTAATTCCTAAGTGAATTTAATCTTTAAATGGATTTAATATAATAGTTCAGCTTGGGTTTTAGTGTAATATGATGCTAGTCCAAACTAACACATTTACGTCTCTATTTGGGAGTCAATCTCTCTGATAACTAAGACAAATCATGTCCTCATTGTTTAGTAATATTCTATGAGCTATAAATAATTTTAGATTATTAACTAATATAAGTTATCTTTTGTATTATAACCACTCTTATAATACAACTTATATTCAGTCCAATTTAATTAATCAATGAATAGATATTTGATTATCACTTGATTGATTTACATACAATTTGAATTTTGAAGATAATGTGGATAATAAACTAAAATAATAAAGACATACAAATTTTATTTATTTAATTTCAGTTTAAAAGGATTTCATAATTATATAGATTACTTCGTTTAGCATACTAAACTCTAACATACTCTGGGTATCATAATTATATTTATGTTATATGATAAAGATATTGGTAAGTGATTACTTGATAAGCATCGATATTCAGATTGAATTTGGGTTACTTGACACTAAAACATTGTTAGGCTTAAACGAGGTCGTGATAGTTTTTGTTTGAATACGATATTTGATAATAAAAAAGTGAAGAAATTTGATTGTGTAAGTCATTCAGGAAGATGCATATAACTGAAAAAATAATTCGAGAAATTCGAGGTTGAAATTTTTTAAGGAAAGGTAGTTTTTGAAACTTGGTTAGTGAAGATATCGTGTTCCACAAAAATTCAAAATACAACTCTCAAATTAATTATTTTAATATGATAAACCAACCGAAATATTGAATTTGATTCGATTCAAGACTTGGATCAAGGATTTGAATAGTTATATAGAAAATAATTAAAAAATGAACGGAATGGAAAAGTGGAGGGCCTAAAAGTGTAATTTACCCAAAATTGAAAGAACTGGAAAATAAAGGATCCTAAAGGCCTCAGTTCAACCGCAAAATTTTGAAATCTTACGGACGAGAAGACAATTAGAGAAATATAGTTGTTGGATAATTAATTTGAGATTTAGATTATTTGTTACGGTATATATAAAATTCTTTATGTTCACAAGATGAGTTTCATAAAAATATATTAAAAATTAAAATTTGATGTGTGAGCTAGATGAAAATTGTATAAAATTCATCATATCCACACACTATATCAAAATTTTAAATACTTTTTTTTATAAAAAAAACTAAAGGTACCTGAAAATACAATGCGATTTAGTTTAGCCGCACATTTTTCATATAAGCCTAAAATTAAAAGTGGCTAGGTAGTTTAAACTAACCAATAATGTGTTCATATATGTGCTTTCAAAGTTTTCTAGGGTTTAGATGGAAAAGGGACAAAATAACGCATTGGACCATGAAATGCAAAACTAATTAATATACCAAATTGTAATGAGCTCTCATCAACACGAACATATGGTCAACTACTCGATCAAGTTAACTTACATTGTTTATATATTTGGACGTTATGGATATTTAGAATATAAATTATAATATATCATTCCAACACGATATGATTCTCTCTGGGAGCACATTAACGGGATTAACGGATCATGAGTTTCTCGTCCCGTCGCCGGTGATTCAATTTGTTCATCAGTGTGATTCATCTCTCTCTTTTTCATAGTCCTATGGATTGGCGAAAACTCTTTGGGTGTCAAGCTGGCCACGAACTCACATATTTTGCCCCAAAATCAAGAGATAAGACCCTAACTGTTCAACCTCCCCTTGAGGTCCTCGAGGCTGGTATTGCTGAATGGAAGTCTTCTCTGGTAGGTCAGTTCTTAGGAGCTGCTCCAAACTTATTGTCTCTTCAGCGAGCAATCGAGAAACTCTGGAACAAAGGTGCTCATGTTCAGGTAAGCCTCGCTGGGAATAATCTTTATATTTTCTCCTTCAATTCTGATGATGCTAGGGATTGGGTTCTTAAGAATGGCCAGTGGCACATTTTCAATAAACCTTTAATTCTTCAAAAGTGGGAACCCAATTTACAAAGACTGAATTTTGAGCTCACTAGATTGCCTTTATGGTTTCACTTGTACAATGTCCCATTAGATTTGTATTCAAGGGAAGGCCTTAGTTATATAGCTAGTGCTCTAGGAGTTCCATTAACAATGGACTCAATTATTGCTTCTAAAACTATGCTTGAATATGCAAAGGTCTGTATTGAGGTAGGAGCTAAGGAAAACTTACCTGAAACAATTGATGTGATTCTGGCTAATGGCTTAACTACCACAATCTATGTGGAAGTTCCATGGTACCCTATCAGATGTAGAAAATGTAGTACTTTTGTCCATTCTGATAAAGAATGTATTATCAAAAATAATTCATCTCTTTCAAATCCTAAAATCTGGAGGAAAAAGACTTTTCTCAATGAAAAGTCTGATAAAAAACTGGAAAGTATAGAAACTTTTCAAAACTCCCTGCCTGAATCTTCTTCATCAAAGAATGGGGATGTTTCTACTAACAAGGATCCAAGAACAGAACCTGAAAACATTCCTAACATCCAAACAGATCAAGCTTCTAATCAAGAATCTTCTAAATCTCATCCTAATATTTCAAATGAGGGAATCATTCCAGAGTCACAAACCTTTCCTCTTGGTGATGATGTAGATATTGATATCTCTAATCAAGCTCAAGAATTTGTTCTTAAAATTAATGAAACTACTCCAACACCTAAAAGAGGAAGAGGTAGGCCTCTAAAGATCAAATTTAAATATGCTTTAAGAGGCTCTGCAAACAGATTTGATATTCTGTCAACATTTGATCAGAATTCTTCAGTAACTGAAATTCCAGTAAAGAAATCCAGACCTGCTACTGTTGGAGTTGCTAAATTAATCAAAGATCTTAAGACAAAAAAGAAAGAACAAATCTCAAAAGCTAAATGTATCTCATATGGAAATATAGAGGGCTCGTCCTCCTCTATTCCTCAATGTTAATTGGATTTTGGAATATCAGAGGATTCAATAATCCTCACAAACAGAATAAAGTTCTGAATAAAGCTAATCTCCTCAAAGTTGATATTCTTTGTCTGCTGGAAACTCGGGTTAAACCTGAAAATTCTAAGAAAATCTTCAATATTGTCTTAGGGAGCTGGAATGTCTTTACCAATTATGAATCTGCTATTAATGGTAGAATTTGGCTTCTGTGGAAAAAGGATATTGATCTTTCCCTCTATCTTTCAACTGATCAAAGCATTACTGTAAAATGTCTCTTCAATAACATTCCTTTCATTATCACTACCATCTATGGGAGTAACAGTGGCACTTCTAGAAGATTACTTTGGCAGCACCTTCAAGATTTGGATTCAAGGTTTGGATCACTTCCTTGGATTATGGGATGTGACTTCAATACCTTTATGCATTACAATGAAAGTTCTGACTCTCTTCTTCTAGGGCCTTATTCTTCCTCTGATATGATTGATTTCAAGGATTTGATTCAAGAGCTTTCTCTTTTTGATCACCCTTTCTTCGGCCCAACATATACTTGGAGCAATAAACAAAAAGATTCCTATCTTGCAAGGAAAATTGATAGATTGATGATTAATCATTCCTGGGCTTCTTTCTTTCAGAATTCTTTTGTAGAATTTACTTCTCCTGGCCCTTCGGATCACTGTATGGCTCTGGCATGGATAAATAAAGAAGCTCAAATCAATAGGCCAAAACCCTTTAAATTTTTCAACTTTTGGTCCAAACACCCTAATTTTCTTGAATAAGTCACACAATCATGGCAGCAACCTACTCAAGAAAACCATATGCAAAGATTGTTCATTAAACTTAAACGCCAAAAGCCTAGTTTGAAAAATCTCAACAAGGATAACTATAGTGACATCTCTACTAGGGTCAGACTTAAAAAGAGTGAGTTGGAGCAAATTTAAATTTCTATTCTTAATGGTAACAACTCTTTTGATAAATAATTGATAATTCAAAAGGAGCTGACTGATTTAGAGGAAACATAGTATTTATTCCTTAAACAAAAAGTAAAGGTTCAATGGGTCAAGGATGGAGACAACTGTACCAAGCGTTTTCATTCTGTCATTGCCTCTAAACATAAAAGAGACATCATAAGGGTTCTTATTAGCAATGAGGGGGGAAGGTTAGAGTCTTATGATGATATGGCTAATGAAATTATTGACTTCTTCAAACATCAACTAGGAGATATCGATCCTAAGGTTATTCCTACTGACCCTTCTTTCTTGAGAAATTTGCTTCAGTTCCATGTGCCTAATGAGGTTGCTATAGAATTGGTTAAAATTGTTACTTCAGAAGAGATCAAAGAGGCATTATTTAATCAAGGGAATGACAAAGATCCAGGACCTGATGGGTCCACTCCATTGTTTTTCAAACATTCTTGGTCTGTGGTAGAGGAAGACTTTGTAAATGCAGTAAAATATTTCTTTAAAGAAACTATTATCCTTCCTGCATTCAATTCCACCATTATTGCCCTGATTCCTAAAATCCAGAATCCTAACAAAGTGAAGGATTACATACGTATATCTTGCTGCTCGGTTGTGTACAAAACTATTTAAAAAATTCTTGTAAAAAGAATGACTCTGTTGTTGCCTGACCTAATATTCCTCAATCAAACAACATTTGTGAGAGGTAGATCCATTATTGAAAACACACTTATTGCCCAAGAATTGGTCAAAGGCTATGGTAGAAAAATATTTCACCAAGATATGCTCTCAAAATTGATTTACAAAAAGCCTTTGATTCTGTCAATTGGAATTTCATCTCCTCTACTCTTAAGGCCATAGGGTTGCCTTCTATTTTCACATGATGGATTGAAACTTGTTTCAAAGAAGCTAGGTACTCCATATCTTTCAATGGTAGTCTTATTGGGTACTTCAAAGGACAGAGAGGTATAAGACAAGGAGATCCCTTATCACCAATCCTTTTTTTGATTGCTATAAACATTCTATCTAAAATTCTCAACCTTGCTACTGCCAGAGGAATTTTTGGATATCATCCTAAGTGCAAAAAACTGGGCATCACTCGTTTATCTTTTACTGACGACCTCTTAATCTTTTGTAAAGGAAATCTTGAATATATTGTGTGAGTTACCAGTGTCCTCAATCACTTCTATGTTTTATCTGGGCTGAACCTCAATGTTAGCAAAATTGAATATTTTGTTACTGGAATTTCTGCCAGAATCCTGGAATCCATTAAATCTGCCACTGGCTTCAAACAAGGCTTTCTCCCTGTCAGGTACATAGGTGTTCCTCTTGTCACTAGGAAAATAACTGAAAAAAACTGTCATCCTCTCTTTGATAATACTAAACAAAGACTTCATCAGTGCTCAGGAAAAAATTTAAGCTATGCTGGGCGTCTTGAGCTTATTAAAACTGTTTTACACAGTGTTATTAACTTCTGGAATAGACAATTTATATTTCCTCAGAAAGTTATCAATCGCTTAGAATAACTTTGCTCTAGATTTCTTTGGAAAGGTAATGATACAGTTGCTAAGGGTGCAAGGATTAGCTGGGAAAGAATATGTTGCCCCAAATCAGAATGAGGTCTAGGTTTGAAGGACATTCGCTCTTGGAATAAAGCCTGCATGATCCAACTCATCAGAAAAATTCTGGCTGGAAAGGAATCTTTATGGGTTGCTTGGATCCACTGCTATGTTTTTAAATATAATGATATAAGTGACATCAATGCAAACTTTTCCTATAGCTGGACCATCAGAAAACTATTGAAATTTAGGAATGAAGCATCCTCAACAATTGTTGCTGGAATCACGAATACAAAAGACATTTGGGAAGATATCAGAGTTCATAGAGACAAGGTTTCCTGGCACAAAGAGATTTGGTTTCCTCTTCATATTCCTAAACTAAGCATGATCACTTGGATGGCTATCCTGGGTCGTCTTCCAACTCCTGACAGACTATTTAGAATGGGAATTACTTCTGACAGAATATGTGTTCTATGCAATGAGATCAATGAATCTAGAAATTATCTTTTTGTTGACTGTATTTATGCTTCTTCTCTTTGGAACTCTATTATGATTCTTTCAAGCATAAGAGATACTCACAGGACTTGGGAATCACGAATTGAATGGACTGTACAAAAATGGAAGGGTAAATCTTTGCTTTCTACCATATTGAGGATTGCTTGGACTGCTTTTATCTACTTCATCTGGGAGGAAAGAAACATAAAAATCTTCAACAGAGGAACAAGAACAGCTGATCAACTCCTCGTGTCTATTAAGGAGCTTGTGTGAATCAAACTCAGAGACAAGAATATTATTAGACTTAATTTTGTTAATTCTAGACTTTGTACTTCTTGGGGTATAGACTAAACATTTTTTGTTGTATATAGGTGTTTATACTCCCAGTTTTGGGATGATTGATGTATGTTGAACCTCTTTACTTTGGTAATAAAATTCTATTTATCCAAAAAAAATATAAATTATAATTAACAAAATTAATATTTGATGAATTAAAAATATTTAATTTTATATCAATTAACAATAAATCAAATAAAGATGCTACTTTCACTTATTATAACTAATTTAGGTATGTTGATGAAAAACGGATAGAATATTAGTTCGATTATACTTAGGAACGAACGTGTAAGATTTTATGTTACGGATGACAAATTTTTAAAATTTTAGAAAAAATGAACTTGCAAAATTTAAGGGGTAAAAACAGATTAACAATAGAAAATATTTAAAATATGTAATAATTTAAAATTTTTAACGGGACAATTACCCTAACTGCTCCCTCAGTTCAATACTAATTGTACTATCGCACTTACAACTTTCTAATGATCATGGATTTTAATATACTTAAATATAATTATCTCTCATTTAAAATGAGAAATCCTTAAAATGACTTAAAACACAATTTATCTATGAACTTGGTAGTTTTGGTCAGTTATCTCTTGAAAGTTTTTTTTGGGTGGTTAAATTAGCCTTTTAAGTTTGGTAGATTTGATCAAATTGGTCCTTGAACTTTTCTTTCGATCAAACTATCCCACAAAATTTAAAAACATGTCATAAATTAACCCTGAGTTTTAGAACTTTCCTCATTTGTGATTGTTTAAAACACTTTGATATTTTGATATACAAAAAATTGTTAAATAGTTTTTACAAATTTTAAGATTATATTTGATTCAGTCATTCGAATATATAAATTATTCTTTAAAGTTAAAAGGTCAATTTTACTCCCCACTCTACTGAAAATTAGAGTCCTATACTGGAAATATTTTTGAAATAACTTTTACTAAGGGGTTTTGAACTTCAATCGAGTCAAAAATGAATTTTAAGCATAGTAGTAACGATACTACTAAAACAATACCGATATTGTTCAAGAAGTATCGATACAGATATCGATGTTGAAACTCAAAATGATGAAGTAGTACCGATACTGCTAAGACAGTACCGATACTGCATACAAGTGTGTCAAAACAAAATACTAAAATGGTACCAATACTATATACATTATTGATACTACTTAGTATAGTAGTACTGATACTCCCAATGGTGGTACCGATACTACCTTTTGGTTTTAGAATCGTCAAAATTCCAGTATACTAAAATGGTATTGATACTATGTAAAATATCGACACTATTGAATATAGTAGTATCGATACTCTTGTGATAGTATCGATACTATAGTTTCCCAACGGCCAAATTTTTGTATTTAATGTAGGAAGTATTGATACAGATAGACCGAGTACCGATACTACAAGCTTTTAGACAATATTTAATGCGGGAAAACTACCTCCCAACATCTTTATTCACTCCCACAACAACTCAAACGGTTGTAATTAATTGAGGGAGTATAAAAACAAGATCCCAAGTCATTTGTGAAGACAAGAGACAAAAAGAGAAAGTAAAAAACAATAAATTTGAGCCAAATCAAGTCAACATTTTTCAATATTAATTTTGCTGTCAAAGAATACTTCTTGTACTCATTTGTATTCATTTCTCAAGTGTTCTTAGTTGTTCTTAAATTGTGCAAACACATTCCTAGTGAGAATTTTATAAGTTTACAATTAGTAATTTTCTCTTTGAGAGAGTGTCTCAAGAATTTGGGGTATAATTCTTGAGGGAGTTGTAAGGTTACACCTTATCCTCAAAGGTAGATACAAATTAGTGAATTTGTGGAAATCTTTAGTGTGGATAGCTAAGATAGTGGATGTAGATTTTGGTTGATAAAGTCGAACCACTCTAAATTCTTGTGTTCATTTGTTTATATTTTCTCTCAAGCTTCCACTAAAATTTTTAATTGTCAATTCACTCCCTCTTGACTATTTCATCCATTCGATTGACTTAACAGTGATAATTTCAACACTTTAGAATTAACGTTGTTAATCTTACTAGTTTTTTTGTGTCACATTTTCAAAATTTATGGGATAATTTGATTCAAAAAAGTTTAGGTGTCAATTTGATTGAACTAGTCAAGTTTAGACACTAATTTAACGAAAAATAGGAGAATTTGATAAAATTACAAAGTAATGGGGGTGATTTGTGTTTTAAGCCAAAAATGAGAGGTATAATACACGGGGTAAGGACTGCAGATTGATTTATCATTCATGGCTGTCTGTAAAAAAGCTGGTTGCTCCATCGATGACCGTATTGCCTCGATCAGGGATCCGACAAAACCCAGGTTTTGTCGTTAAAAGTACAGGTTCTCATTATCTCAGAATGCATGCTAGGCCGCCTCAAGCTTCTCATTTAAGTATGGGTAAACTTCCAGAATGGTCACTTGACTTTTATATTTGTAAAGTTTTACTCATCAAATTCCAAAAAGTTAAGTTTTAGCCACAAAATGTAATCCCCGACCTGAAAGTTACGACCGAACTGTGGACAACACATTGATCACCGAGGCAACTTTCGGAACAAACATATGCTTGACAAATCATTTTTAAAAATTGTCATCATATAAAATAACATAAATAAATTCATGTCATAGTTAAAAGAATTTTAAAAATTAATATTTAACCTCATACAATATAAAATCAATATCAAACCTCCAATTGTCGAACACGTCCTACATCTAGATGATATGAAAAAGAAAGGTAAAAAATGGATGAGCTAATATAAAAAATATATAAATACCGCAATCAACATAATATATCAAACAAAAAATTAATTAAGTAAATCAATATGTTTAACTACACATCACCTGAACATCATAACAAGAAGTTTTTAAAATCAGGAATGGACCTAGAGGGGGGCGGGGGCGGGTGGCGGTTGTCATCCCACTAAAATTTTTAAATTCTTATATATTTTAAATATTTTCTATTGAAAATATGTTTTTGTCCTTAAAATTTTATAAATTTGTCCCTCATAATATAAAATATTTCGTCTGTACCAGTCTAAAATAATAAGCAAGATGAGGACCTTACCCTCTTAAGTAATCCAAGTTAACCAAAAGGAACTCAACATAGTAAATAGGATGAGAATCATACCCATCTAAGAGGAACCCAACATAGTAAATAGGATGAGAATCATACCCACCTAAGAGGAACCCAACATAGTAAATAGGATGAGAATCATACCCAACTAAGAGGAACCCAAGACTTCTATAGAAAATCCCAATACAAAAATTTTCCACCATATTATTTCAAATCCCAAGAACCCAAATAAAGCCTGAGTCATACATGATCGTCTTATTATTCAGGAATCATGCATGATTGCATAACATTTTACAAAAAAAATGAAAACGTGCTTGCATATAGAAATCACTCAGTACAACAATACATACATAAGTTGTCACGCACTCAAGGTGATCCAATAACAAATAAATCATACATAATTTAGCATAAAAGTCATAAAGTGTAACACTCTCAAGGAATGAGATGTATTAAGTACGACAGCCTTAATATGCAGCTAAGAAAAGACACTACCAAAAATGTTAATATTTTTTTAACATTTCCAATAAAACGCTACCTAAAACATTATTTTTTTCTATCGAAATGTTAATATTGGGTGCTATATAAAACATTATTTTTTCTACTGGAAATGTTAATATTAGGTTCTACCGGAAATTAGTTAGCGTATGTCATGAAGTGTAGGAACTTCCAATAACATAACACTACATGATTACTAAAACACTATATTTTAAACAAAAGAAGCCCTTAATTCAATTAACAATACTCACATGTAACTCAGGTCGAATATGCAAAGTCAAACTGAGCTAAACAGAAGTGGTTTTGATTCGCTGGATTGTGGTGCAAAGACAGATGACCACCTTCAGAACATAAAATAAAAAAAAATTAAACCTTTAATTTCAAAATATACTTAACATAAACACAATTTTAAGCAATGCAATATTCTAAAGAAGAATTTCTAGTCAGAATTCAACGAAACAGATTGCAAAAATGAACTCAAAACGTCGATAAACATAAAGTTAAATATCTATAGAAAAAATCAATGTTGATGATCAATTGGTCAGGTTAACAAGTTGAAATTGATTCAACTCAAACTGGTTTAATCATTGAACTGTTTTGACTGATTTGCTAAAAAAACACTCCCCCACTCACAGAAGTAACGCATGAGGGCGCATGAGGTGTCCTCTGGCACCCAAAAATATTAAAACTTCCAAATTTGAGTTTTAAGGGTTCTAAATGTAGCACCATCATATCGATATAGGTGACCCGAACCAATCCAATGTGTCACATTAGGGCCACCGGAGCAACCCATACTGAAAATCTGAGAAATTTAAAATTTTTGGTAAACCATTTAAGATCATAAAATAATTTATAAATAAAAATATAATTTCAAAAAATCGCTCATATATATTAAAAAAAGAATTCAATTATATCCAGTATTTAAAATAAATTTCAAACTAGAATATAAAAACATAATACAACTTACATGTCTCTAACTACATGCACCGTACTCAGCAAGCAACACTGATAGAACTCCTTTATTGATGTCGATAAAAGTACATGATCAAACTCTTTATCCTAAAATAGAAAGTAACATAGTGAGCTTTGGGAAGCTCAGTAATACATAACTACCAAATGTATGTAATAGGTCATCATATATATGGTAAAGCATGAATTTCCTTAGTGATACGAGCATCATCGGGCTCTATCGGTGAGTTCAGATTTCATTGATTAAATTTTAAAGTAACTGTTGGAATATTTACAGTCTGAATAAACGTTCAGAGAGATATATTTAGGAGGTTGGGTTGAGAACTCTAGTGTGTTTCAAAAAAATCAGAGCAAAATGTACATATATTATAAAAAAACAGTGGTAGTTTAAAAACATATTAAAACATCTGTAATTCCCTCCAATTGAACACCGATATGAAGTTCCCCATACCTGCATCCGTAAGGACTTACCCTAGACCCAAAGGGCATATGATCCAACCTAAGGGAGCATCTTGGGGCCTTAGAGCCTACTCAAGTGAGTTTATTGGGGCCTCAGAGCCTACCCAAGGTCACCTTAGGTCCGTAAGGATTTACCAGCTTGATCAGAGCTGAACCTTCATACTCCAGAATTCTACCTAGATAATATCCCAATAAAATAGTTCATATAGTAAAAAGTAATTTCCATGATCCATAAATCAGACATAATTATATTTTCCAGTGAAACATATACCCAGAAAGCATATATCAAGTAGTCATAGTTCACAAACGGTAAATCAATAAACCAGTAAATCAGAAAATCGAACAATTACAATATTCATAAGCCAACCAAATAACAAATCACATTTCAGAACAAATAAAACAATCATATAGCACACAGGGAACACACTAGATGATTAAGTTATATTCCGGAGGTACTTGGTAATTATCAGGCGGGGAAAAACATGAAACTTCTACAAACTAATCAAAATTTCGACAAGATATTCCTTTTTAAAGAGTTTGATAGCTAACAGATTAATCAATCATTAGGAAAGTGATACATCATGATCATATAATATTCGAATATATCCAAAGGATATTCAGGAACTATTACATCAAAATTACTTAAGATTTAGAAATTCTTAGGGTGATTCCATCAATTAGACTCACAATGGCATTTTAATTATTTATTCCTAAGAAATTTTGGTAATTCACTTTAATAAAGGTAAACAGTGATTTACATTATTTCAAATTTCAAGTATCTTATCAGGATTACAAGTCCAATCGAAGTGTATTAATCCCATCACATATGATACTTAACAAGTATACAAGTAGAGTAACTTCACAATATTCATTTTTTTTTATTGATTGCACTATAGAGTCGAAATGATCACCTATAGAACCATCATTTGACGAATCTTGAGGAGACAAACGGGTATTCAGGCTGTATTTATTTTATTCTCATATTGTAATAGTAGCAAGCATGATCGATATGCTTGGGTCGTGTTTCAACCCTTAGGGGCGATACAACTTTTATTTATTATTTTTATAAATATGTCCAAAATTTATCCAAGGACTTTCACTTATTCTAGATCGAAGGTATTTATGTCATCTCGGTACTTGAGGTTAATTTAGTCATTTCAGGACTCGAGGGTATTTCGTTCATTTTGAAATACAAGGATATTTTGATTGTTTCAGGGTTTATGGGTATTTCTACTATTTCAGCATTCAGGGTATTTTGGTCATCTTACAGTCCAGGGGTATTTTAATCCTTTCATTCAATTCAATCTTTTTATTTAATTCAAACTTGTCATTTATTTCAGTCATTTCGAACAATTCTGACAATAAGAGTACTTCCGGTAAGTTAGTCTTTGGGTTTTTGCTCATTAATAAAAAATTCTAGGTTTAGTGCTTTCTCAAAGGTTACGAACTGATTCTCAAAAATTTCCGAACAAATCAAGAATTTAATTGAATTAGTAATTTACATGATTAAATATGAATTCTCAGGGTACTTTTACTATCAGGGCTAATACGAGCCATTTTTACCTCTCAAGGGTAATTTTCGTAATTTCTTATCCAATTATTTTCAGCATTAAAACTTTTAACGAGAATAACTAGAATTTAAATATTCTTAGGTTGATTGTTTTATCGATTAAGCACTGAACTTAAAATTATTTCTTATTAGTCTTCTAGTTTCTTATCCGAATCATCCCAGTCTTATTCAATTTACTTACTTTTTACTGTATTCGAATCAAGTTTAGAAATGATTTACTACACACATGTGACCAAACATAATCATTCATGCATTAAAAAATACCAACACGTTCAGTAAAGCATGCAAATGGTAGTAATGTATTACCTCGATTTTTGAGCTACACCGTTCGAACATTTAAACTCCATTTGATTACTCTCGAAATTGAATCCAACGCCCAAAAATATCTCAGATACATACAAAATGAATTACATCAGAATTGGGACTTAATTACGAAAAACAGATAGGATTTGAAGCTAAAATGTTGAAAAACAACTTATCGGGTTCGAATTTGGTAAAATAGACCTAAAAACAGACTTAGGATGTAGAGAAACCTTAGGGTAAATGTTCTCGAAAAAAGTTAACATACGGTCAACAGTGATCAACAGTCGATCAACGACTGGGTTAAAGGTCAACGACTCACCTAGGTACGGCTCCGCTCAGTCCATAAGGCTCGGCTCGGCTCGATCTAGGTGGCTTAATCCAGATCGGTCCAATATGTTTAGCCAGTCAACAAACTCCTTGGCTGGAAGACGACGTCCACGAGCAAGGGGCAACACGTGCGGCTGCTCTGATCGCTAGATCGACGTGAAATTTTCCAGATTTTTAGATTGACACCTTGGGTGTCTCGTACATGCATGATTTTGTGACGAAACACGAAGAATAATGGGTTTTTAAAATGGTTGGCCCTTTTTTTCGACGACGACGGGCGAGTGACGACAGTGAAATAACGACAAAAGAACATCATCGGCTAGGGTTTGTTCGTAAAACGTTGAGAAGGACAAAGCTGGTGGAGGTGCAAGCTATAGACGATCGAAGATGGACCGAAGATGGACCAAAAATGATGAAAATAATGGCGACAAAACTTAGCACCGACGAACCTTTGAAGCACATTTTTCAGCAAATGACAGGGCTTCACGGGGTGTGGTCAGTTAGGTTTTGATCGTAGGATGACGATGAGCACGGTGGTAGTATAGGTGACGAGCTTAGTGGTAGTAGAGGTGACGATCACCACTGATTGCACAGTGGTTGATCAGCGGTGGAAAACAACTGAAAAGATAAAATTTTGGTGATTTGGTTTGGAACATGAGAAGTTTAATTGGGGTGTTGGATCTGATCCAACTATACTTTAAAACTTTAGTTATAAATATATAACATAACAATACTCTAGCCTAAATGATAGGAGCATGGATGGCTATACATATAGATCATGGTTTCAAACCCCCATAGCCTTACATTTTCTTATTTGTTTTATTTTAACTGGCAGGTTGGGTAAATTTAGGGCTAAGTCCCTGAATTGGTTTAAAGTTTATAGAACAACCTCAAATGTCCCAAATTTAGTAATTTTGTCCCAAATTTTCTTTCAATTGCCTTAAAATTGTAATACTTCTCAATTTAATCCTTTAATTAAATTTTGGGTGTTACAGTTAAAGAGACCTTTATAATGTTGGCTCACGATGAAGAGCAATGAGAGTGAATATTTTACAAAATCCAAAAGTTTTATCCCTTCTCACATCTCAATGAGGGTGGCGATGTAGAAGGTAAAGACACAAGACATTGATTGAACGGGAACGATGAATTGAATTAAATAACATCGGTGGTGACAACTATAACGACCTGGATGACTGTTAAACAAATAAAAATTGAAGTGTGAAAGAGAGGGGTAAAGAGAGAGAGAGATGGTTGGGTGGCACAATTAAAAAAAATAAAAAGAATAGGAATCTTACAAGATTCATTGGTTCTTTTTCTGTAATAGATGGTCAAAACTTCATCTAGGTTCGAATCTTACTAAGAGGTCCACTAGAGATCAGAAATTGTTGAAGAACGAACAAGATGTTTCTTTTGTCCCTTCCAGATGATCGAAAAATAAAGAAATAATTAATATATTCAAGATAATTACGTATTCACAAAATATTGTCTCAATTCATCCTATTTCATTAGATCCATGATATGATATGGTTTCGAATGATGAATTGGGATGTTTCAATAGAACATGGGGGATACATGTTACACCACGATTTTGAATCAAAAGAAAGTAGTATTTAAATAACCTAAATTTAGGGTTAATTGTGTAATCAATCCCTACACTTTTAAGGAATTCACAAATCAACATAAACATTTTAAATGTTTAGAATTTACCCCCATTTTGGCATGTGACACTTGCGTTATCGATATTAAGTTTTGGTCACTGGACGATGAGTGTCATTAGTTTGATGATGCAGCGTGTTAATAAAAGGGTCTAATTTTTATTTTAACCCTTGTACTTTAGGTAAAATATTAATTATGGACCTTTTTGTAAACCCAAAGCAAATTAGGAACAAATTTTTAATTTATTCTTTTTAATTGCTTTTCGTCTCTCCCGAAACCCAAGTTTTCTCACCACTTACAGCGCACACCCTCTTCTGTCCTTAGGCTTCTCGTTGTTCATCTTTCCCGTCACCGATCACCTTTATCTGGCGATGAGAAAAATAATAAAATAATAAATAAGTAAATAAAAATGAAGTGGAAGAACCCAGATTCCAAATGAACAAATTCAAACTTAAAAAGAATCTTTCTGATTCTCGAAGAATGAGGGGCAAAGGGATTGATCGAGAAAGATCTCTTGTTCTATGAATAACGAGAAGCATAGGGACAAACGAGAGTGTGCGGCGTTAGTGATGAGAAAGCTTGGGTTTGCATAGGTGAAAAGTTTATTAAAAAAGAATAAATTGAAAATTTATCTTAAATTGCTTTGAGTTTACAAAAACATCCATAATTAGTATTTTATCTAAGGTACATAGTGTTAAAATAAAAATTAAACCCTTTTATTGTCGTGTTACATCATTAAACTAATTCCACACAACGTCTCAGTTGCCAAAACTTAATAAAACGATATAATGTGAGTGACCAAAACTTAAATGTTTTAAATTTTGTGAGAAAAAATATACAAATATGAAATGTAAGTGGTCATTCTAGTAGTTTACCCTTAATTTATTGACTCTCTTCGACGCTACCTTTTATTCATTATTATTGTGAAAGCAACTACTGGTTTTAACAAACCTGCATCCTTCGAAATGACATATCATTTTTGAAGGGGAACCATTAATGCTTAATTAAATTTGGTAAATCCAAAATCCCAACATCATAATCAAAAACCATGCACTGGTAGGTATGTAATGTACCGACCACTATGAAAACTGCAACGACAATGATGTATGGAAATGTTGTGTCTGTGTTGTTTTACAATTGGAAATCTGGGGGAATGGTTGGCCATGGCCCATGGATGTCGTCTTTTATTTATAATTGTAGATTGGACATTTCATGGTAAATTATTTAACGTTTTTTTATTTCAAAGATTTTTATAGACGATGTGTTTTAATTTTAAATCTTTAGAAATAATAAACATTTCTTTAATCGTTGAAGTTGTTTGATTTGTACATTTTCCTTCTTATCTTTAGTGGAACTTGATAGTATTACATGTATGGATATAAAATCTGCATATTGCATTTCATTCGTCTTTTAAGGTTGGCAACGCGGGAGTGTGGATGTATGAGTTTAAATAGAAAAATTATTTATTAATTATTAAATAAACAAAATCATATTGGAATTATATTTATAAGTTGTAAATGCAACTAATATGTATGTAAATAGAAATTATTTATTATAAAATATGATGGATTGATAATAAGAATATATGTAACCCCCAGACCGATGCGGGTAACCCGATCCGATTCGGGAAGTCACATTAGGGCCACCGGAGCGACCCACTGTAAAAATAGCAGAAAATTTAAAACTTTTATTGAAACGTATAACTTATAAAATCAGTTGTCACTATTTAAAAATAAAATAGATTTCCAGACTCGTATATAAATCAAAATACAATTACATGCCCCCTAATCACATATACCATACTCTACAACAACACCGGAAGAACTCCCTTACTGAAGTCAATAGATGCACTGATACAATTCCTTTAACCTGAAAAGGTGAGTAATAGAGTGAGCTTTGGAAAACTCAGTAATACAGAACTACCAGATGATGCTGATGAACGTGTAGATACAGATAAATATATATTTCCTTATTGTTTCCGAACATTTATAGATTTTTATGCTGAGCAGAGATCCTACTGATATTTCAGGTGGTAACGGACAATGAGCTTTCGTTTCAGAGAAAATATTTCGGATGACTGAGTTCAGGAGATCAGAATAAGTTATCTAGTGTGTTCCCAAAAACCATGTAACTTTTCAGATCTTTTTAAAACATATATATATATATATATATATACCTCCATCCTAACACATCATACTGTGTAGGTTCCCCAAAACCATACACCCAACCCAACACATCATATAAGGCCCTGAGCACAAAGCCGAGGAACCTACGGAAATTCTTCCTTCAACAATACCCCCATTTAAAACATTTTTCCGTCATTAAGCGGAGATATCAGAATTCAGAACAGATATCAGAACAGAATTCAGAACAGATATCAGAACAGAATCAAGATCATAAATCAAAACAGAATTCAGGTCATATATCATAATAAAATTCAAGTCGAAAGTCAGATAAAATAATTATATAATTAGGGAACACACCAGAGTTTACAAATATTATTCAAAGGTACTGGATAATCTTAGCAAGTAGAGAAATACGGATCTTCAGTATACCGATAGAATGTCAGAATTTAGAATCACTATTGTAAAAAGTTCAATAACTGACGGAATCATCAGTTATTCAGAATGTGAATTATCAGGATCATATCTTATTTGGACAGTTTTCAGAAGTTGTACGTAATCAGAAGGGTATTCAGGATCTTTTACATCCATATCAATTGAGTAGATAATCGAACAACTTAACAACGAAGATTCAGAACCTTAACAATCTATGTCGACTGGTCAATTCATTTTCCTTCCAGGGTATTTACTCTTTAATACCACAAATTCTTGTTCATATATCATTTTCGAAATTAACGTTGAATAAATCTTCCAATGTCTTTATTTCATGTTCATGCTTTCACCATATCATGAAATACTGACGTACTTGATTTTGTAATTCATAATCCATAAGAACATTACATCATATTTGTTCATTAACATTTCCAGATTCATCCAACTCACTTATTCAATCCTCAGTCCTTGTGGTTACTTAATTTATTTAGCATTCAAGTCCATTCCAGATACTTCAGGATTTTCTAGAGTAATTTAAGCGTTCCTGATTTTCAGACACATGTTGCACTTCCGTTCCATTCAATTTGGTCTTCGTGGTTGATTTGTCGAACAAACGTCCAATTCTTAGTACTGAATGCGATCCAGAGTTGAACTAAGTTGAATACTTCCAAAATTTATCCTCGAGTCAAACTTAAGAAGACGAACACGCATTCCAGTAATATATATTCCATTCAGGTATTGGCATAGCTTTAAGGTTGATCTACTCACTTAAATTGTGTTCCATTACTTTTAAAGGTAGGCCAATACCTATGCTTATTTGGATTCCTTAATTAATCCAAGGCATTTACTTGGTATAGGTCATGAGGGTATTTTTTTAATTTTGGTGTTCAGTTTTATTCCATTTATTTCAGAGCTCGAGGATATCCAATCATTCCTGAGTTTGGTGATATTCTTGGGTCATTTCCATTACAGGGGTATTTTTGGTCATTTTACAGATTCAGTGCACTTTAATCTTTTCCTTCCGTCTGATCTTACTATTAACTTCAGTCTTATCATTTATTTCAGTCATTTCGAACAATTCTGACAACAAAACACCCCCGACAAATTGTTCTTCAGGTATTTACTCATAACTCGGATATTTCCGGGTCAAGTGCCTTCTCAGATTTTACAAACGGAATAGCAGGAATTTTCCTGAACTAAGTCAGGATCTTAAAAATCAAATCCGTACTTAATCGAGTTAAGTACAAATCCTCAAAGTATTTTCTCATTCAGGGTTAACTCGGACTATTTTACCTCTCAAGGGCATTTTCGTAATTTCTTAACCAGATAATTTCGATATTAGCTCTTAACAAAAATAATTATAATTTAGAGATCCTATGATTAATTGATTTCTTGAACACTTTCTGATCTTGAAATGATTCCCTTAACAGACTTCTAGTATCCTTCACAAACCCTCATAAGACTAAAAACCGATTATCCGCATTTCCTAATCAAAACTAGCATTTCTTATGCACGTCAATAATTTTTACCGGATCAATATGTCTTTTCAGAGATTACTAACCAACTTCCAGGGATAATTCTTGTCATCTTACAACATAAGGGTATTTTCGTAATTTTACCCTACCAGATTATTCTCATAATTTCTCATCCAAATACCTTTAACATTTAACTTTTGATGAAATAAATTATAAGTTGTAGATACAGGGCTGATTTATTTATCACTAATCACAAACTTGTAATTTAATCTAACAATTCCTCAATCTCTTATATTAGTCATTTGATCCGTAATCAGTTACAGAATTTCTACCACATCATATCGAGTGTATAAATTATTCAACTCTACCAAAGTGATCAACATTATCTTGTTCATGCATTTATCAATATAAACATGTTCCATAAAGCATAAAGAGGTAGTAAAGTATTACCTCGATTTCTGTGCAATATTGATCGACCATAAAAATTCCATTCGAACGCCTTTGATCTTCAATTCAACTTCCAATAATTCCTCAGATACATATCAACATAAATTATATCAGAAACGGAGCTTAATTGCGATAAACGGATCGAATCGGGTGATAAATCAGTGAACAATAGCTTACCGAGTTCGAATTTGGTGAAACGGACTTCGGATTCGGATTCAGGACTTCGAAAGCATAAAATATGACTTTTCGTAAATTTGGAATTTTTGGTCAAAATCAAAGTCAACGAGTTTGACTTCCAATTTTGAGGCCTTCGGGTCCGAATTTCGAAAAGCGGACTGCGGAATCGGATTTGGAACGTCGAAAAATATCAGGATAGGTATACTCGGTCAAAGTCAAAGGCCGTTTAATGCCCGGTCAAAGCCCGACAAAGTTTTGATCATCAGTGGTTAACGCCGGACAACGATCAACGGGTCGGGTCGGGTTGTAACCTGTCAAACCGGTCAAATCTGCTCCAAAACCGGTTAAACCAGTTATTTGGACCATCCCCACGCGCAGTGGCGGCGCGTGGGGATCCTTCCGGCTGCATAAAAATCACGGAAAAATTCTTAAAAATTATTTTGAGCGATTCTGAGATACTTACAAAGCTCGGTTCACAATTTTGAACGGCAGAGAGCTCGATTTCAACAAATCAGAAACTTTGACTGCTTCACCTCCTCACGCGCCGCCGTCAACGGAGACCAAGGATGACACCGACAGACTCGGAACGATGCAAGGAACACGATGGTGCGGGAGGTGTCGTAAACGGATCATCGGATTGTCGTGAATCGACGAAAAATCAATTGAAATCGAGTTATTACCGACGATACTTCCGACTGAAATTAACGACGAACGGTGACGATTCACGACAAAAGGTTTGAGGGGTTTTGTTTCTTGCTCGACAACGAACACGATGGTAGTTTCGGCTCGTCGATCGGAGGTCGGACGACTAGTAGATCAGAGTTGAAAGTTATTGACCGGGAGAGGAATTATGAGTGTATTTCTGCAGAAATACACGGAGAAATGAGATTTATATTAACTCCTAAAGAAAAATGATAAAATCATTAGTTTAGCCACTGAATTTCCTGCATTTCTTAAAATGGTCTGCCAACTTTGAAATTTTACAATTTAATCCACCGTTTCTTTCAAAATACCAATTAAATCCAATATTTTATAATTTCTTAAAATTTAGCCCCTAAATTGGGGTGTTACAATATATTTTAATATAAATTAAAATGTTTTCAAAAAAGTATAAATTAAAACAAACATGCATGATATTACATATAATAAAACTTAAATTATAATAAAATTTAGACTAAGAACTTACATATAATATTTATACTTAATGTTATGAGTGGTTGTACTGTCTAGTCGTCACCATTTATTGTAGATTATATTTAAAAAGTAACCATATTCTTAAGAGAGAAAAATAAAAAAATATCACATAATATGAAAATCTATTCTTAAAAATAAATAATAATAATAAATTCAATTATTTCCTTCAATAGTTGTTAAAAAACTAGTGACATCTAATTGTGTTGAGCTAACAATGTCACATGATTGTATTGGTGCTTTCGTTCGATCGTGTCGGGTTTTCACTTCGTGTTGGTTCGGGACATTTTTTTCCTCCATTTTGGATTAGTAAAGTTTTTTAACAAGACACCCTTTTTAAAAAAAATTAAATTATTTTTACCGTACTTAATACTAAAAATTGTTTATATTTTCTTTCTATTATCATTTAATGTGTTAATAAAGGTTGATAAGATACTTTGGCGTACGATCGGTACGAGCCAAATGATTTATACCTTCACATTGACAACAAAAAGATTTTACTTTCTTTTCTTAATTGAATTTTTGTCATTTTTATAATTTCGCTTTTGTTTAGTGTAAATATTCTTAAAATTATCATATCTTTCACACCCTAGACTGTGATCATGACTATGCACACATCTATTACCACGATCACAATTGTTAAAAAATAATTTTTATTTGTCATATAATAGGACGTAACATTCACTTTAAATAATGGAGTTTAAGAAAACGAGAATAATAATTTTTATTAATAATTTATTATTGGACTCAATTACAAAAAGATAAAATATTAATTTAAAATATTTCTTAAAACTGTTTTGTTCATGATATTGTGTATGCATGATAGTATTATTAGTATGGAAAGCGTAATAAAACGTGAAAAGCATAGTGCCGAATCAAAATAACCACACATGGAAAGGTTTACGGCAAAATCTTTGTATTTTGCTGCACTTTAGCGCCTAGGTGAGCGCCCTAACAACGCTGTTTTACATTATAATTGCTATTTTCAAAGGGCTAGTACCCATATTGCTTTCTTGTAGACATATTTAATGCCTCAAAGTGACTATTGATATGGGGTTTTGACTTACAAATATGTAGAATAGTTGAAAAGTATTAAATGATTTCCTTCAAATTAGATATAGATAATTTAATTCTTAATTAAAATTCTTTAAATAAATTGTGTAACATATTGTAAAATAAAAATAAACAAATAATAAAACCAAGATGTATGAGAAAAGAGATTTTAATATTCTTTTCTCAATAAGAGACTTCTTCAATCTCTATATGTAATAAATGTAATATAGAACTATAATTCTAAAATATATTAAAGACATGGTAATAAAGTGTATCAAAATTTTATATTATACATAAAATATGGATGTGATTTTTGGGAAAAAACAATGTATTTTTTAGTTTAATTAACGATATCAGTAACTGATTCAAAAAAATTACACTTTACGTTATGTATGAATCTTATATATGATAATTGTTTTTTGATTAAAAAATATTATAGATGGTAATTATTTAAACGTATGTTTAATAAATACAACCCATTTGAAATTTACTCAATATAATATATATAAACTTATTAAAATTTAAGATTAAAAGAAAGAAAAAATGCATATAAATTGTGACCCCGTCATTTTCGTTGAGAACCGTTTATACATTATCTAAAAAATTATTAAAAAACAATTACTAGTGAATTGATAAAAAGATCTATACATGAATTTTATTAAATATAAATTTACAACTAACATAAATTTTTATAATTATCATGTGTAATTTATTAATTAACTAATATGAATTAGATATTGTATAATTTTGTAAAGAAAATAATTCTTCTAACTTAATTTGTTTTATTTTCAGAATTTGAACTTTAATATTATTTAAGAGATATAATATTTTTCTTATTAGATTAAAATTATTTATGGAATTAATACTCAATTGAGTAATGTAAAATGAAGATATTTCCGGTAAAAAAGCGTTTTTCACCAATGTGAAGAACAATCCTGGTGAAAATGGGTTAGTGGTAAGCATTATAAATAAGATATACATAATGATTATGTTCCACATCCCAGCTTGGAGGTGGCATTGCCAACGACGCAAGAGAAAGGTACCCATTTTCTTTTCTTTTCTTGTTTGTCAACATTGATGTAATTCTGTGCTTAAGACTGAAGATTTTAGTTTACCCAATGGAAGAAACATTTTGGAGAGTATATGGCATCCCACAAGTGCCTGAACCTGACCCGCTACACTCTTCCACCGTCAATCCAACGGAATGCGCTGCCTCCTCCACCACTGCCGTTACCACCAACGCGACGAGAACAGCGACGAAAAAGAGGTTTCTCATAGGAAATGGTGGAGGGTCCATAAAGTACCGCGGAGTTCGCCGCAGGCCATGGGGCCGTTATGCTGCCGAGATACGTGACCCAAAGTCCAAGGAGAGGCGGTGGCTCGGGACCTTTGACACGGCAGAAGAAGCTGCTTGTGCCTATGACCATGCTGCTCGAGCCATGCGTGGGATCAAGGCTCGAACCAATTTTGTTTACCCTGCCGCTGTGCCTCACACCGCCAACGACCCTTTTCTTACTCCGTTCAACTCGGTTAACCATTTTGGGTACTCTTTGGCCCGGCCATTGTTTGGTATGCCTCCAGTTAACCAGTTTCCGTTTATCAATGGAACATCTTCTACAAGCATTTTGGCTGCCACTACCTCCTTGAATCTCTCAACCAATCCTTCTCCATGGTTAAGCCACAGCAACTGTGCTGCTACTTCATTTACTGGATCCACCATGACTCTTCCTCTCAAGGATAAGAATTCGAGTCGAGTTGTGCCTGCACCAGCTGCCATCTCCAATTGTGAAGCCGATGACGTGGGATTTTTCACACAGGACCCTTCTGGTTCAGGCCTGTTGCAGGAGATCATTCAAGGCTTCTTACCCAAACCCACCTTAAACTAGCATGTGTTGAAATTTGCAAGTCTCTTTTGTTATGAGTTTAGGGTTTTTTTTGTCATAATCAAGTATTTGATAGGATAACGATAGTAGTTTTATAACATGTAATGCCATCATATTTAGTAACTTGTGCGTCATTATGTTTCTTAATCAGGTCCATGTAACGTGTTCATTTAATATTTTTATAAATATATTCCTACATATCAAATAAATGTCTTAATAAAAATATTTATAGATATATACTAATTATTAACCGAAAACTGTCCACAGATAAAAATATGTCAATTTTTTATTATTTGGTGCACTACGAGCGGAAAAAAATAATTTTACAAACACATTAAGATAATGACTAGTATCCTTAAAATATCTTTAAACATTTAAAAATAAATCTTCATTCCTTAACGCCATTTGTTTTTAATTTTTTTCCTACTGTGATACTAATTTAGTGTTGGTCCCCAACATCGGTGGTTTTTCTTATTCCCTTTTTTCCTCTTTATATCTTTTTTTAATAATTTATCCTGTTTTATTTTTACATATCTAATTTTTTTCCTACTGTGATACTAATTTAGTGTTGGTCCCCAACATCGGTGGTTTTTCTTATTCCCTTTTTTCCTCTTTATATCTTTTTTTTAATAATTTATCGTGTTTTATTTTTACATATCTAATTTATGTTGTTTATTTTGATTATTTAAGTTTTTTTATCGTATAAAAATAATAGTTGATTTTATCTTTTGTTGTGACACGTTTTTCGTTTGTTCTTGTGTCAGGATATAATTTAACCATTCTCTCCAAATCCAAATGATGTTTATTTGGTTATCATGTCGATTCATGTGTGCTTTGGGCCCTCATGCTAGTTATTAATAGCACTCGCAATCACTGATGTTAGGTTAAGATTGAATTGTGACAATACCATATTGCTAATAAGTTATTGTTATATGTATTTTTAATGTTTATATTGATGGTGTTTATCCTTTATCATCGAAAATGATAATTGTTTATATTTATCATTTATTCGAGTTGTTTAATTAAGTTTTTAACCTTTTTGTGTATGGTATTTTTTTTATTTCTTAAGGGACTAATTCGTGGACTTCTATGGGTTTAGAGAAATTATGTGACTTATGTAATTAGTTTATTCAAATAAATTTTTTTATAGTTTTAAATATTTTCTCTTCATATAATAAAATTAAAAATTGTTTTTTATAAACATTAACAACAAATGAATAAAACATTTGTCATCGTCTTAAATGTATTTGCGTGATTATTTTTTCTACCAATAATATATTAAACAATTGTGTTTTTTAAATATAGAAAAAAAGACACTCAACACCATTTGAACATTATTAGTGAAAGGTTTTCACTAACTGTATATAAAAAAATAACTCAACATATAATTAAACATGTTTTTGAATAATTTAAAATTTAATTATGAATAGTAAACAAATAAATTGTAAATAAACATGTTATTATTTTATGTATATATAAAATAACCAAACCTTAATAAAAAAAAATAAACAAACATATATATATATATATATATATATATATTACTTAAATAAAATAAACATAAATATCTTAAATATATTATGCATAAAAAATCAATTTTAAATAGATGTATTAATAAAAAAATTTTATATAAATATAAATAATCGAAATACACATATATTTAAACTTATGTCGTAACCGTTTTTTTTAAAAGGAAAAGTGGAATTTGAAAACCACGTCATTTTTAATTTATTTCTTTTGATTGATTTTTAATTAAAAAAATAACATGAAACAAACCTCTCATTTCGAAAATTTAGAAATTATTTTACAAATAAAAAAACATGATTCGAAGAGTCGCCACCAATCATTGATTAGGGTGTAATTGGGCACCAAAAAAAACATTGTCATTTTAAATAAAAATTAATTTTAATTAAAACAACAAATTGAAGTCCGCGTTACCAGAAAATGAGTTCGGGAGTCGATTACGTGTAGGGAAGGATTAGCACCCCATAACGCCCTAAATCGGTACCTGATCGATTACTTAATGTCTTTGCAATGAAATTTATAAATTCAACTTTTAATTTGATTTATAATCCCATAAAACATCATAGGTATTATTTTATACCAATAATAATTTAAAATATCTTCCTAGTTAGTTAAAGAGATATTTAATGTTTCATTGTATAAAATAATTTAACCTTAACACATATAATAAATTTAATGATTAAAAAAAATTATAAAGGAAACATTTATTTGGGTCAAATAAATAAAAATGAAACAAATAAAATTATCGAATATAAATATTTATGCGAAAAATCCTCGAAGATATTTCCTAATTATTTAAGGCGTAATTTCGTAAATTATTAGCACAAAATAATATTTTATAATTGAAAAGTATACGTTAAACATAATATATATATATATATTAAGTAAAGAAACATGCAAAATTTATGGCGTATAAACATTGCACCAACTTTTTAAGGATTATATATGCACGTAATTATAAGTAAATAAATATTGAAACATGATGAAGTAATCTTACATATAAATTACATTAGATACTAAGTAGTAATCATTACAAAACAATAAAATGAAACGACCATGATATCAAATAATATATATATATATATATATATATATATATATATATATATATATATATATATAAAAGAACTTGAATAATCACACAATCAATATTATACCAAATATAAGATATAAAAGCTAATATTAAATATAATATACAAACATATAACACAACACACTAAATCCATATTTTAATGTAATTAAAACCTATGCGCATTAACAAGAATATGCTAAAAATATAATGGACTAGAACATAATAATAAAAAAATAAAAGAACTACCAACTACTATAAAAGTCTAAAATCAAAGACCAAATTTGTATTGAAAGTAAAAACCAGCGGGCCCTTATTGAATAAGCCAAGTAATTAAAACCCTTGTCTTATATTAGCATAAAAATGGCAGTATCATTCAAAAGATGGAACTAGCATGGAAATTATACTTCTAGCCCTTATCACTAAGCCCACAACATCCAGCAATCACAAAGAACAATCTCCGCCTATCCCGCAACTACAACACCCTTAAATTAAGAATTAGACAGCTCGCAGCCCCACCACATAACAGAGTTTTCAACACACAAACACCAGTATACAATAATAGAACGTATCACCTTCCTCCACATTCTAAAAATCTTAAAGCAAAAACTAAACCCAGATTTTTTACACACCTAGGACTTGTTAAACTCTCGACATAGCCGACACTCCAAAAAGCCTAAAGTCTTCACAGGTCACCGTACGTCGGTGACCAAATCCACCTCTGATCGTCCTTTCAACCGACTGATGATGCCAAGCGTTTTTTTTTTTTTAAATTCCAACGACAGGTATTCACTACTCCCTCGTGTTCCTAATGACGAATTCTCTAATGGTGTGGGATGAAACCGACGAGGCTTCAATTAATGAATCTCCACCCTCAGGTAAATTGAACTTAAACTTTTTTTATTATTTGTATTCTTTACAAAATAAAAATTTTGAAAATAAAAAAATTTCTTTAAAAATAATATCACTGTTAATACTTATTTATTTGCTTCGAATGGTTTATGGTTGAAATTTAGCCTCTAAAATCGTGATCATCGAATGTTGATATGGTTGATATTCTGATTCGATGTTGGCTCTATGGTTCACTGTTACTGCTTTTGACCAGTGCTTATGCTTACTGCTGTCTTTTAAAGATATAAAAATGGAATGAAGCAATATCATATTCATCTTGGAATCATTTCAAATTAATAAAAACAGAAAATAAAATAAAGTAGAAAAATAAATTGAAAACCTTAAGATGTATCTTGCTTGGTATTGATTCTGTCGAAGAGAATAAAAATTTTTTACAAATTTCTCTTATCTAGAAAATTCCCCTCATCAGTGTTCTTTTTTTCTGTTCTTGATTGCTTCCCCCTCCTTTTTCCCCGTTGAAAGTTCCCCTATTTATAATTGTTTCGAATCCACCTTTCCTTTGATTAGTGCTGAAGCAGGTATCCCTAATCCCGTAATTTTTGGGATTTTTTCTTTATTTCAAAGGTTTAGGTAAACTTTTAATCTTTTGTTGACCTTGATTTTGATCCACTCACATTTGCTGAGATGGCCAGATGATGACAGCTTCTAGAGGCATTTGGTGGTGGCTCTATGTTGGCTTGGCAGTTCGGCGAAAATGATTCTGAATGGTTATGTAATTGGACTGGCCTACAAAATATGTAAGTTATTAAATTATTAGCATTAATAATAATAATAATAAATATATATATTTTTTAATCCCGATCAAAACGGGTGTCTACAGCTGCCCCTCTTTGCGCATTCTTGTGTTAACAAGAATAGGGAAAAGATGAAAAAGACAACCAGTTTTTGTCCAGTCTTCCTTCGTTGTTAGATTGAACAAGTTCTTCGCATTATGAAATTCTTCTCTCTTTTGGATGAGTTTTTCTCATTATGAACTCTTCACTGAAAATGTTGATCCCTCAAGCGAGGCGTCCCTGACTCGAAATGTTGTGAATCGAGTGATAGGTCGAACAAGCTCTTCTCATTATGAACTTCTTCTCCCTCGTTGGATGAGTTCTTCTCATTATGAACTCTCCATTGAAAATGTTGATCCCTCAAGCGAGGTGTCACTGATTCGAAATGTCATGAATCGAGTGATAGGTCGAACAAGCTCTTCTCATTATGAACTTCTTCTCCCTTTTTCGGATGAGTTCTTCTCATTATGAACTCTCCATTGGAAATGTCAATTCCTCAAGCGAGGTGTCACTGATTCGAAATGTCATGAATCGAGTGATAGGTCGAACAAGCTCTTCTCATTATGAACTTCTTCTCCCTCTGTCGGATGAGTTCTTCTCATTATGAACTCTCCATTGAAAATGCTGATCCACCTATTTTTGTGATGGAACCAAACCAAGGTTGAACAAGTTCTTCTTATTATGAACTTTCTCCTTTAGGACGAGTTCTTCTCATTATGAACTCTTCACTGA